TGGGCTACAGCCCACTTCATTGGATGCATAGAATGGAATATATAGTGAGGAGATATATATACATACAGAGTGTCAAGTATCAGGGGGTAGCCGTGTTAGTCTGTATCTACAAAAACAACAAGGAGTCTGGTGGCACCTTAAAGACTAACAGTAGGTTAGGTTGTAGATCGTGGATAATGCGCTGGAGAGGTTTTAGCTGGGGGCTGTATGTGATGGCCAGTGGTGTTCTGTTATTGTCCTTGTTGGGCCTGTCCTGCAGTAGGTGATTTCTGGGTACCCGTCTTGCTCTGTCAATCTGTTTCCTCACTTCCCCAGGTGGGTATTGTAGTTTTACGAATGCTTGATAAAGATCTTGTAGGTGTTTGTCTCTGTCTGAGGGGTTGGAGCAAATTCGGTTGTATCTTAGGGCTTGGCACGGGTACCCAAGAAAAAAAAACAGACTTCAAAGAGAAACAGCAGAACTAAAATTCATTTGCAAATTCAACACCATTAATCTGGGCTTGAATAGGGACTGGGAGTGGCTGGCTCACTACAGAAGCAGCTTTTCCTCTCCCGGAATTGACACCTCCTCATCTATTATTGGGAGTGGACTACATCCACCCTGATTTGAATTGGCCCTGTCAACACTGGTTCTCCACTTGTGAAGTAACTCCCTGCTCTCCATGTGTCAGTATATAATGCCTGCATCTGTAACTTTCACTCTATGCATCCGAAGAAGTGAGGTTTTTACTCACGAAAGCTTATGCCCAAATAAATCTGTTAGTCTTTAAGGTGCCACCAGACTCCTTGTTGTTTGGGTTAAGAATGAAGGTATTCAGAAATCTATTATTACTATTGCGGTTATTTGTTAAAGTGCTTTTTAATCAATTGCTCTCCTCACTCTTGCTGCCAATCATGTCTCATTGATGTAAATTCTCAGGATCCTAGCCAATCATTGACAATTACAGAGCTGAATGAACAGTTTAGAGAGGTTTTTTTGGGAGTGGGATTTTGGAGGGGCAGGGGAGGTTGTGTTTGAAGGTTCAGTGAGAATGATAGGGCAGAGCATATACAAGGTTATAGTACCTACCAACACAGGATGCCTATAGCTTGGGCAGAGGCTGTTATAGAAACAAACGTGATGGGAGTTGCTGTTTGCATGTTCCTGCCCGGATCATAGCTTAACCACAGAACTACTGCAAAGTTTTTCTTTTAAAAAAGAGAAAAATCTAAATTTTAAATAACAGATACATTTGCTTGGGTTTGTGCTGCTTAAGCTAACTAGAAGAGAGTCCCTCTCAGCAGATGCATAGAGAGTGCTACAGTATTCATCTTATTCCAGAAAGCTAAATGGCCTAGACCACCACCACTGCTTTCCAACCGCTGTATTCATTAGGGCTACTTTGGCAGTTACTGAGGAAGAGAGATTTCTTCTAACTTAAAAAGCCAGGAGTAGGACACTGAAGTTGTCAGGAGACCTTTATTACAAACAATTTTTTAAAACAAAATCTACCTTCTTACAAGTTTGCAGCTAGTTTTATTGCCATCAAAGCTAAAGACATCTGATAAAACTACATGCACAACTTGAGCTTTTAAATTTTTACCTTACATGAAATAAAGTTTATAGACAAGTTTTATATTAGAAAAAAAATAGAAAAGTGATGCCTGCCATGTGCAACTGCAGCTAGAGTCAAGGCTACTGATAATATAACTCCAGGTTCATGCCATCATGGATTTCATCTGGAAGGAATGAGTTAAGGGGAATTCCACAGGAAATGCTCAAACTCAAATGGAAGAAGGCATTAAGTTTCTACCAGCTCAATAATTCAAAATAAACTACAGCAACAAATTTATTCTTTGATACATTGTACAAATTCTTAACAGAATTCTCCTTCCCACTTGTGTTTCTGTCCCAAATGGACAAACTAAACTGCTAGTGTTATGGAAGGGAACATGGGTCATATGAGACATTGTAAGCATCAACATTAGAAGCAGCAGCATCTTAACTCCGCATATTAGTCCCCGTCATATGCTACCCCACTCAGTTTAGTAAGGGACTTTTTCCTGTAGATTCACCAGTTATCTTATGATGGCCTATCAATACCATCAGTCACCAGTACCCAAGGGGATAAGCAAGACCTCTGGTTTGTGACAAGCAACTATGTCAGATTAGGAAGGGTCTCTGTCTAGCTATGTATTTATAATGTGCCTGTCACTCCACTACTTAGGTTGTGGATCTTGTAAGTGACAGTTATTTTAACTAGACAAAGGGTTTCTCCAGAAGCTGCAGTTTACTTGGACTATTCTAATGTTCAAGGATACAGTCTCCCAGTGATACATGGTCCTTGAAGATCGTGTACCTGCACAAACATTTTAAAAAGGAAGTTAGTCAAGAACAGAAGTGTAATACAAGAATTAACAAAAGGAAGTGTAGTCAATAAGAATGGAACAATTGTGATACTACCCAGAGGTTTGCTGGTATCAGTTATTACATTAGAAAATCAATCATTGAAATGTTACAACAGGTTTCTGAAACAATGTTTTTTTAACAAATGCCAATCATGAATTCCATGGGGAAAGGGAAGAGACTGCCTATGTGCAGTTACAGTGTTTAATATATAACTTCACATATAGAAGTTAGAATGGCCATACTGGGTCAGACCAAGGTCCATCTAGCCCAGTATCCTGTCTTCCGACAGTGGTCAAGGCCAGGTGTGTCAGAGGGAATGAACAGAACATGTAATCATCAAGTGATCCATCCCCTGTTAGGGGAACAGCAGGAAATTCTGAAAAAAAAGATGGAGAACCAAGTAAAAATCTTGAGTTGAATGTCACTGCAGGTGAGAATATGAAGGAAAACTCACTCAGCAGTATTCATCCAGAATAATTTGTCGTTATTTATACTTTTGTTTTACAAAGTTTATAGCCGCTGGTCTGCCTCTGAGACTTTAAGTGAGAGGTTTGTCCGTGGAGCCCCCAGGAACATTGGACAATGGGGAAGGTACAGAATGTGAAACATCTGAGAATTAAAACATTGAGAACCTAAAAAGAAATCTTAAATGAACACTCACTGGAAGTCTGCACCACATGCCTCCTCTCCCTAGGATCACCCTTTCTGTTGCATTCTTTAAGATTTTGCATTCATATGCAGCTTTCCATCCCAGAGTGCATCAGAAACTAGTGAGACACATTACCTCAAATGCAGCCATCTCTGGGTATGTGTGGTGGGAGGGGTGTGGATTGTAGCTGAAGACTGCATCAGACACACCCACATGCAGGGAAGTGCACAGAATTCAGTTTACCTGCCTTGGGAGGATGAAGAGCTAAAATGACCCTGCTAGGGATTGAAATCTGTAGCTCCAGGGAGTCCCAGTGCATCAAGCCTGCTAAGGTGGGGGTGGCCAACATGCGTCTCTTTAGAAGTTAATATGCGGCTCCTTGTCTAGGCACCAACTCCAGGGCTGGAGCTACAGGCACCAACTTTCCAATGTGCCCAGGGGTGCTCACTGCTCAACCCCTGGCTCTGCCACAGGCCCTGCCCCCACTCCACCCCTTCCCACCCCCTCCCCTGAGCCTGCTGTGCCCTCACTCCTCCCCCCCAGAGCCTCTTGCACACCACGAAACAGCAGGGAGGGAGGAGGAGAGCTGATCAGTGGGGCGGCCAATGGGCAGAAGGTGCTGGGAGCGGGGTGGGGGAGCTGATGGGGGGCTGCTGACGTGTTACTGTGGCTCTTTGGCAATGTACATTGGTAAATTCTGGCTTCTTCTCAGGCTGGCCACTCCAGTGATAAGGTGTTTCCTTCCCTCGCCCCTGCGTTTAATTCACCCACTTACCATTTCTTCAGCACAATTTTGTCCCAGCGGGTCCCAGTCTGAGCTGCAATGAGTTTCTTCAGGTCGCCGATTGTGTCCTCAGTGCTGAGCAACATGGTTAAGGAAACTACATTTGCACCCACATACCGAGCACCTGGACAAAGCGGCATTGACCAGGGCCAGAATCCCCCTCCTCCCCAAGGAGCTAGAGTCAGGGGTCGGCAGCCTTTCAGAAGGGGTGTACCGAGTCTTCATTTATTCATTCTAATTTAAGGTTTCGTGTGCCAGTCATACATTTTAATGTTTTTAGAAGGTCTCTTTCTATAGGTCTATAATATATAACTAAACTATTGCTGTATGTAAAGTAAATAAGGTTTTTAAAATGTTTAAGAAGCTACGTTAAATGCAGAGCTCCCTGGACCGGTAGCCAGGACCCAGGCAGTGAGTGCCACTGAAAATCAGCTCGCGTGCCTACCCCCTGGAGACATTCATAGTCGCCTTTCCCACCTGTCACGTTACAGACACCCACCACCACGGCATCTCCCAGCGGGTAGGGTGCTGTCGCTAGGAGAGGAAGAGGCGCTGATGGAAGCTCCCATTCCCAAACGCCCCAAGGCTCCCACAGGCCGTACCCCAGCATCCCCTCCGGAGGATACTTGCATTTGACTCGCACTTTCTTGCCCAGCCGGTCGTTGCAGACAACTTCGATCATCCTGCCTGCCTGGGGGGAGCGAGAGGCGTTAGGGGGGGGGAAGGGGTGACCCCGCCCAGGGCTGGGGAGAACTGGGGCTGAGAGCAGGGGGGGAGGGGGACTCTGGCGGGAGGGAGAGGTTGGGGGGCGGGGTGACCCCCCCGAATGGGGAGAATTGGGGCTGAGAGCGGGGGGGGGGCGGGCCTGGCTGGGGGACTCTGGCGGGAGGGTCCCTTCCCGGGGCGGGGGCGGAGCCGGCCCTGCCGGGAGCCGAAGGACGGACGGACGGACACTGGGGGGGGAGGCCTACCGCTGCCCGTAAGCGCCGAGGAGCTGCTGGGGAGTCTGACCCGGAAGCGGAAGTGCTCTGCTAGTGGCAGGAAGTCGGTGTGGCCGGGGCCGGGCGGAACCGGAAGCGGAAGTGTCTGGCGATGGCGGCGGCCGCGGGTCTGGGGGCGCTGCCCGACTCCCTCCTGCTGGAGATTCTGCGGCTGCTGCCGCTGCACGAGCGGCTGCGCGGGGGCCAGGTGCGGCG